CCATGACACCCTTCCCTCACGACTGCCACTTCCTGGCGTGTGCCTGGCTGGTGGGGAAGAGGAGCAGCTGCTATACAAGGGAGGGATGAGCTGCTGGGCTCTTACTTTCCTCCAGTTATGGTCAAATACAACATAAAATGGATCATCTTAACCACAGTTCGGCGACACTGAGTATTTTCAAATTGCTGAGCATCCATCATCACTATCCAGCTCCAGAACTCTTTTTATCTTGCAACCAGAAGCTTGTGTCCCCACCCAGGCCACAACACAGCCCCCTCCTAACCCCATTCTGCTTCTGCCTCTCTGCATTTGTCAGCTCCAGGCACCTTGGAAGTTGATTCCTATAGAATCGGTCCTTTTGTTCATGTCTGGCTTATTTCCTGTGTCATAGTCATGGCGAATTTACAGCACACGTGTTACTGTGTTTTTCTTTTAAGACCAAAGATGCCGATGTGTGAGTTGTTTCTTTTAAACCAAAACCTCGGTGTTAAGGTTTAAGTGTAGTGTTGGCACTTTGTAATAAATGAGTTTGGGGCTGCAGTTGGCACTACTCTCTGAAAGGTTCACTTGCCATCACTGCTGGGTTGCGATTTCTTCGAGGCGGACTTGTCAGCAGACTGTCCTGAAGCAGGCACTCAAACCACCAGCCAAGTGCACAGCGCCACCACCGATAGCCCGAGACGGCCCCAGTAGCCCCGTGTTCATCCCACCACACCCCTTCTTCCTCAGGAATACACCTCATGACACTGTCACAGGGACAGTCTTTATTCTTTGTTTTCCTGCCTTAGGTGCCCAAGAAGAATACAGCATCCCCACAAACACAAGCCACACATACGATTTTTATATTCTCTAGTAGCCATGCTGAATAACAAAAAGAAATGAAGTTAATTTAGTAGTATATGCTATTTGAGCCACTATATCCTAAACATTAATATGTCAGTGCCAATCAATGTAAGAATTATAAATGAGAAACTTTACCTGCTGCCCGTCTTACCAAGTCTCCAGTATGGCAGCCTCTAGCACCATGTAGCTATTTAAATTTAAACACGTTTGAAGTTCAGTTCCTTTATCACTTCAGCTGCATTTCACATGCTCGGAAGCTGTACCTGCATAGCAGCTGCTGGACTGGATAGACAGATACTGGCTGTTTCCACCAGTACAGGAAGTGCTACCAGAGGACACTGGCACCCACCCTTCTTTGACTCTCTGCTTTTTTATCTTGTTCACCTAATGTTTATTGCATTCACTCAGGTTGCCATTGTAACTATATCTTACTGCCTTCCATTACTAAATAGCGTTCTGCTTTATCAGGTGGTTGATATTTTGCAGTTGTAGGCGTCTTGCTGTCACCGTCACGTGTGTGTACATAAAGATGTATACACCTTCCGTCTCCCCGCTGCTGGGCCACAGGGTGTGGTGTTTTCAGCTTCATGGCATAATAGCACATTGCTTTCCACCATGTTTGCGATAATTTCAGCTTCACCACTAGCATCCATTGGTGAGTCAGAACTCCAGTCCCGCACCTGTAGTTGCTGATGTCACTGCTCAGTTGGGAGTGTGGTAGCATCTCGTCATGAGTGAGCTGGGCTTTTCCATTTATTTGCAGACATGACAAGTAGGCACACCAGCTGCAATTGGATCCCCGGGAATTGGGCAGTATGGCCCTGGAAAGGGGTTGTGGGGGACATTCTATGTATATATGACATGGTATTTGACCACAAGATGTGATAGTCTGGTACAGTCGACTTTTTCAAAGAAGGAGAGATTGTATCATGCATATAAAGACAACAGGCTCCATCTCTGTAGGAAATATAGTGGTATCTTGCTTCATGAACTGAACTTGTTCCACAGTTCTGAAAAAAGATGGCTGTATTTGTTTTCCTGTTGTGTGGGAAAGATGGCCACAGTAGTGTTTATTACCTGATGCAGAGTTCACAAACAAAATTCCGCCAAACATTGCTGTTTGTGAACCCCGTTGTTGACAAACAGACGAGTTTGTGAACCAGAGTTCTACTATATTCTGTATTGTGTGTCTTCTGGAATTCACCATCATGAGGAAATTAAGAGCAATTAATTCTAGAGAAGTAACAGTCAAGTAAAACTCGGGGGATGATGGAGTGAACAGAACAGTAGAAGCTGATGGGGAAACTATTCACAGCTCCCATGTATAGAAGATGAGAATTCGGTCTCGTCAAAAATCGAAGTCCCTGAAGAGAAGGTTTCAGAACACCTTGAGAAGCCTATGGATGGTGAATCACAGGGCACGGGCAGCACTTTTCCTGAGGTTCTAAGAGAAAGTGAATGAGGAAGAATTCTAACCAGGTGTGCAGTATGTCCCAAAGACAGGCCTGCTTCTGCCACCTGGAAGGCTCTGTTGTGTAGCCTGCCTTCCTCTGAACTGTGCAGGGGTGGCCCAAATCTGCAGGAAGATAAACCAAGTCTCCCTTCCTAGGAGTCTCGTGTGCAGAGCAGCTGTGATCCTCAGCTTGAATGGTTTCCCCAGTGGGCCTGCTGTGGCTCCCTCTGGACTAGCTGTGTGTGTATGTGTGTGTTTGTTTGTGTGTGTGTGTATGTGTGTTGTGCTGGCATTCCTCACAAATACAAAAGCTGTAGCCAACTCATGTCCATTGTACCAGCATGTGCCTCCCCAGACTCAGCACAGACAAAACGTGGGTTACAGGGAGGGGCCACTGGTTTTAAGTGAAATGTGTTTGGGGAAGCTATCCCTAGAGTGGGTCAGGCCAAGGGAGCATTCTGGCTGCATGTGGATCTGTTCCCGGGGTGGCTGTCATGCTGTTGCATACATGATCTATGAAGATGGCAAGGAGGGGTATGTAGGAGCCCGTAGGAGTGCACGTGTGGGGACAGCCAGTGGCATTTGCCTATCGCTGTGTGTAAGGATTCTCCACCCTCCTTATGTGTATTATTTTAGTGCTCACAGTAATTCCACAAGGAAGGCACTGCTCTTCCCCATTCTCAGAAAAGGAAACTGAGGCACAGAGGGATGAAGTCACTTTCTGAAACCACAGGAGGGGGCCTCACCCCCGGCAGGGGTTGTGCCCCACCCTAGAGCTCGCTCATGGAAGCACGTCCTTCTCTTGAGCAGGCCGGAAAGATGCTGCTTCTGCTAACTTCTTCCTCTAGATACTCTGGCCTGCTTTTTAACAAGATTTCTCATAAAGGCCCCGCTCACTGTGAGGCTCTGACGTGAAATAATCTGCCTGCCACGTGAAGTGAAGCAAAGTTAGAAAATTGACACCAATTTCCTTCTGCCTCCACTGCTGATGGCAAACAAAACATTCAACAGGAGGGTGAACATCCGCAACCGCAGGAAACTGTGGCTCCTACCTGTTAGCCCATCTGGCCAGGAAACTGGTCAACACTCAGGCAGAAGAGCCATCATCTGCATCTCTGCCCTGCTCATTACCACCCACTAACCCAAGGGAAATGTTGGGTACAGTTAGCCTTAGGAAACACTAAGTTCTCTAGCAGGCCCTCTTCCTGCCCAGTGGTATTGGGGAGACGTTTGCAGGTCTGGTCACCTGGCTCTCCTCGAAAAGCTCAGGAGCTTCCCTTTCGTGGGAGCTCGCTCTGATCTCTTCTACATGTTGGGTTTCCGTGTATGTTTAAAGGAAAGTCTCCACCACTGCAAAGAACATGAATTTAAAATTGTGTGTGTGTGTGTGTGTGTGTGTGTGTTAGGAATGGAACCCAAGATCTTAAGCATGCTAGACAAGTATTCTATCAATGAGCTATGCATCTAACATCAAAAGTAATTTTCAAAAGGATGTAATTTTTCAAAAACCAAAAGGTTTACTTGTAATATATTTAAGACATTTAAGATAAGGGGAAATATACTATGTTCCAGGCCCTAATCTTGTGGTGAAGAGTGGATGACCCCTGCCGTTCTGGAGCTTTTAGCACTTTTCCCTTATAAAATATAGATTTGCTTCGAAGTCACAGAGCTGTCTCGATAGTATTTGTGAAGGAAATTTTCCACTCAGGAAATAGTGTAGCTATTAGCATGTTTATGCCCCTGGTATACAGCTCACTCTGTGTCAGACATCGTGGTTGGCAGTGCACATCTTCATCCTGAAACAGACCCTTTCCTGTCAAGCTCTCCATCCCCTCCTCCAGGGCAGGAGGCCAAGGCCTTACTGGCTGGCTTGCATCACAAACCTGTGGGCAACAGCATTGCTGTCACCTGCGGGCATCATTGGGCACAGAAAGAAGGCTTAGAGAATTCCTGGGCAATCCCAGCAGGACCGTAGGCTGGGCCAGTGACCATCATGTATAAGGCAGATGTCATAGGCAGCCTGCAACACCCCAGGGCATTATGTGAGTCAGTGAAGTTGTTCAAACTTCAGTTCAAAAAATAACTTTTGGGTCACAGGACTGCATGTACATCTCCAACTTTTTCCAATGCTATGTGTAATCAATGACCAAATAACAGGCTAATGAGATTTCCTATGAAAGCCAAAGAATTATAAGTCCTTCCAAATATTAACACCAAAGTAAGAAGTTTAGAGGATGTCTGATATTTAATTCCTCTTTGTGTTGGTGAGCTTTCTATTACTGTAACAAAACACGTGACAGAAATAAACCTAAAAAGAAGTGAAGGCTATTTTGTCTCACACTGCTTGAAAGAAGGATTCTAGACCGTAATCAGTAAACCTTACTGCTTTGGGCCTGTGGCAAGGCTGCACATCACAGTGGAAGCACCTGATGGAGAAATCTGCTTACCTCAAGGCAGCCAGGAAGCAAAGAGAAGGGGCAGAGTCCCAACATCCTCTTCAGGCCACGCCTCCAGCGACCTCACTTCTTTCCACCAGGACCAACCTCCCACAGTGCTACAGGCAGGGACCAGGCCTTTGGGGACCACTGAAGACCCCAATGCCAGCAAATTTTAGATAAGCGAATGTACGGATGGTCTCGGAGTGGTGTGCAGAACATCCTGAGCGATGGCCTTGGTCAGTGACTGTTTTCTTTTTCCTCTGCAGATGATCACTCCCGGGTGAGGCTGCAGACGATTGAAGGGGACACTAACTCAGACTACATCAACGGGAACTACATCGATGTGAGTATTTTGGAACGGTCGTTATCTGATCGTTGTGACGTGCATCACCAGATTGGGCGTCTGCTGTGAGACTAGTGGACGTGTGTCAGACTCAGTCTGAAAACGAACAGGCCAGCCCCATCCCCACAGAATATCTCGGTGACTTCTCTCAGTCAGCCTGCGTGTGGATAGATTCCTCTGTAGCCCCTACCCCTTTTTGGCATTTCATGCTTCTATGGACTAAGAAAATATTTCTATTTCTTTGTCAACAACTTGTAATTATTCAACACTCTTAAAAAATCTGCTTGCATATTAATAGGACAAAACTCTCTAATTCCTAAAGCAGTGATTTGCAATCTCTTATCATCAGTTTACTTTTAAGTTGCCTTCAAAGTCGTCTGCAGCTGTTCTTCAGGACTTCCAGCACAAGCAAGACATGTCATTAAATATGTAGGCTGCTTAATTATTGAAGATGGCCTCTTTGTTCATTCTGCATCACGTTAACTTAATGTCTTACATTAGGATAAATTCTTCAGGAGACAGCATGTTTTCAGTTGAAAGAATGAATGAAGTCAAAAGTAGCCTGAAAAATGAAGGGGAAGTTGTAGTTCCCTCCTAGGCCTGAGCCTCCATTAAACAGATTGCAGCTTTCTATGGTTCCCAAGACACATGGCTGCCGAGTCCGTGGGGACTGCTAGGAATTAGCTTTGCACATGTACAAGTCAAGCATCCCTAATCCCCAATTCCAAATGCTCCCCAATCTGAAACTTTCTGAACACCAATAAAGTGCCACAGGTGGCAAATTCCACACCTGACCTCCTGTGAGGGGTCACAGACAAAACCCAGGTGCACACACACTGCTTACTCAGTGTCCCCACGAGAAAATGAGTCCTCCAGCCCCTTCCACTATGGTACACAAACTTCATTTCATGCACAAAATTATTAAATGACCTCCATCCAGCCTATGTGTATGCAGTGTACAGGAAGCAAAAACAAACTCTGTGTTTAGATATGAGCTCCACTCCAAGGTATCTCATCTATTCTAAAATCTGGAATCCAGAATTCTGGTCTCAAGCATTTCAGATAAGGGATTTGCAACATATGTATGGGTTGTTTATTTTCTTGGTTGACTGTGACTCATGCTACTAAAAGTAACAAGCACCAGCATATCTAGGAGAGACTTACCTGAAAATGAGTATGAGCATATTATTCTTGGTGCTAGTTTCATTACAGATCTGTGGGTAGAGCCTGGGGATGATTATCGAAAGAATAGTTCATATTTTATTCATCAGTAAGGTCTCTGCACCTTTTCAATAATGGTCAAACCCTACCCATTGATGATACTGTTGTTTGCATCGAAGCAGAATTTCTCCGTCAGGCATACCGAGCATATCCTCCACTCAGAACCGTCCTCATCCCTCCATTCGTGAGAGTTCCCCAAGTCCCCACGACCTGGCACCTTCTCCTCACAGTGACAGGGCGGAGGCTGCATGGCCAGTGTCTTCTGCATCCCCTCTATGCCAGCTGTCGGTGTCCTCACTGCCCGCCCTGCTCCCCATGAGCCTGCTGGGCCCTTGAGCACAGAGACAGTGTCCTCCTCACCTTTGTGTCCCTGTACCTGGCACACACCTGGTGTGGGGAGTGCTTAGCAGATGTGTGGTACGTGACCCGCTGGAGGAGTAGGTGCTGTAGAGGACATGCTTTGTGCTAAACTTTCCACAGTGGATGTGTAGAGACGCAGAGGGCAGAAGACGTTTCATCCCAAGGAAGTAGCATGCACAAGACTGTGAAATAATGAAAATGTCCGGTGGTTGGGTGTTCGTTTTATCTCAGCAGAGAGGAGTCCATAACTCTGGTTCACGGGGTTGATAAGAGCTCCTGCAGCACCTGTTACGCGTCAGCACCATTCTAGGTGCTGGAGTTGTAACTGTGAACAATTCAGATTTAAAACAAATTAAAAACAGAAAACCCCTGATTTAATGGGGCCAGTGATCTAATTGGGAGAAATGAACAATAAGTAAAATAAGCTGGTTCCCTACAGTATCTGAGAAGTGGTGTGTGCTGCGGAGAAAGCGAAGTCGGGGTGTCGGTGCACCAGGCTGTGGGTGAACTGCAGTCTACAGTAGAGGGGCTGGAGTCTGAGTTGGGCCCAGGTTTGGGGTGCAGCTGTGCAGGTATACGGGAGGGTAAGTCCCAGCACAGGCCTTGCTCTAGAGCTCATCTGGTGCAATGAAGGAAAACAGACCGGCAGGCGGGTGTGGGTGGAGTGGTGAAAAGGATTACAGAGGGACAGGTGGGGAGGGAGAGGTCGGAGCCTGCGACTGTAACAGGTCAGTCAGTGGAGAGACTGCGCAGGAGGCTGGCTGCCCAGTGGAGACGGTGTGGCCGGTGCTCAGGGAGACCTGCTGGGCGGCTGTGAAAGCCACCTGAGAGGCGATGGTGGCTTGGCCACACTCTGCAGTAGGGGAGAGAGATGGGAGAATCCTCGTGTGCCACGCAGGCTGTGCCAGTGGGATTTCCTGGGAGGTTGGCCTCAGAATGTGAAAGGAATAGAGGACCAAGGATTCCTTGAAGAGATGGAATGACTGTTTTCTCACAAGATGACTTGGAGGAGCAAATTTGGATGTGCAAAAAGGAAATGAGCTCAGGGTTAGATGTATTAAATGTATGTTAGACATCTGAGGGGAAGTGTTGGCAACTGACACACACTAACATCTCAAGGGAAAAGTCCAAGCTGGAGATAAGAGTATAGGACGCATGAGGATCCAGATGGAATTGAAGCCGTGGGACTGGGTGAGGTGGCCAGGAGAGTAGTGTGGGTGGAGGGAAATGCTAAGAGCTAGACGTGCCAGTGTCATTGTCAAGGGGAAGGGAAAGACCCAACCAGAGAAACTGGGGATGGGTGGCCAGGGAGGGAGGCAGGAAGAGAACCAGTAGGGAGTCGTTTCCCTGCACCACGCGGAGGGGAATCTGAGGGGATCCATTGTATTCATGCAGGTGAACAGGTCAGGTAAGGAGGACTGAGCAGTGACTGGTGGCCCTCTCTACACTGTGAGCAACTTCATTTAGCAAAGGTGTCTTTCCTGTCTGTGCAGCACTGTATTAGGGACTGGACAGATACAGCAAATCAGGCAGATGAAGTTCTTGCCCTTGGGAGATGTACGAGGTAACAGGAAATGAGCAGTTGTCTGCAGTCCTACCCAGTATTGGTCACAGTGCTATCATTTGAGACCTACAGTGCGTCAGTTGAATAAAAGAATGTTTGTGTTTGTGGTTCATTGCTGCTGTCTTGCTTTTAAGAGCAAAAATAACCTAACAGATTCACATTTAAATTCTCTGAGAAATCTGTGTTTCTTCCCCAGTTTCTCTCTTCTGTTTTCCATCTAGCTTTGGCACAGTATCTAGGAGAATCTTAGGGCAGAGTGGAAAGTATTGAGGGTCATGATGATTTAATGAGTTGGTGGGTGCAGCGTTCCCTACGTTGGCTTTAGCATTCCCAGATATTTATCGTCCAGTTTCCTTGCTGCCTGCTTTCTCTTCAGCACCACATTTAATCTTTCCTGTTTCTCACAAGGTCATAATGACAGGAAGAGGTCTGCAGAATTTCCACCTCCTTTGCAGCCCAGCCTCCTGTCGCGGTATTAGCAGTGTTCAAGGATGGTCCTGAGTGTTACTATTGATGTAACTGTCTGTACCGATGTGACAGAGTATGGGTTAAGTCCCTGGCACGTTGCCAGTGACATCCCAAACACAAATGGAATTCTGTTGCCCCTGCCAGCCCGTTTGCACCTTAGTCAGAGTGGTGGTTATGTTATTTCAGCAGATTCATAAGCTGTTAGCATTCATTGCTCATCCAGCGTCTCATAGCTGTTGGAGTGTGATGGAGTTTTTCAGACCTCCGGCAGCAGCAGAGCGGCTGCAGTTGACGCACCCCTGCTCATTAAGAGAAACTCATTGGTCTCCACTCTGGCAGTGAACTTTCAAACAGTGTGACTGTCAGCGTTTGTGTGCATGTTCATTTCTGCAGACGTGGCCTCTGTCCTCTGTGCTACTTATTGATTTTAAGTTTATCAGATATTCTTTCTCATTTATTTTCAGGGCTATCATCGACCGAATCATTACATTGCTACCCAAGGTAAGTTTATCTCAGCTTCATTGTCTTCCCTGGTTGCTTACTCGCCATTCTCTGTCGTCATGCGCCTGCTCCACCCTCCCTGCAGAGGGTGCTGTGCCTGCAGTTCCCTACTGCTCTGCCCATCGACCCTCATACCCTCATTTCCCATCAGAAATTCTGCTGCTGCAACCATTTAGCTAGAACTTCACATCGAGATCGTTAGAAGGAATATGTCCATCAGTTCATCACTGAATTTAATCTACCTCGGGAAGGAGTCTGATATTTGCAAATATAAATATGCACACATCCATTCCATAAATACGTGCTGACTGCTCTCTGTAGAAAGAACAGTAATTGCTCCTGGGAGCTGAGTTGGAACCAGCTACCAGCTCCTTTTCACAATGGTGTTGAAGGGAAGATACAAGATGATCTGTATGTAATTGGGTGGCTGCAGACCTGGTCAGTGCCACAGAAAATGCAGCTACAGTTTTAGGGGAGTTGGGAGGAGATTGCTTTCTCCTGGGAAACGGCTGCTGTCAGGTGCGATGACCCAAAGCAGCCTGGCGACAGAATTGAGAACCTCTAAATGACAAGACAGCACAAGCAAAGATGTCTTTGTCACTTCCCTCATTGTTGGACAAAGTTCCCTCCACAAATTACAGGTGGAGGGGTTTATTTTGCTTACAGTTTCATTGGGCGGACTCCATGGTCTCCTGGCTCCAGAGCAGCATGGTGAACAGGTCAGGACAGGGGAAGGCTGCTCACACTGTAGTGGTCAAGAAGTGCAGAAAGGAAGGAGTTCACAAGAGAGAAGCTATGGTCCCCATGATCCAGCCACTTTCCTAAAGCCCTGAGCTTTTGGAAGCTCTCTGAGCACACGAGAGTTCAGTAGGGACCTTCGTCACCTAAACCATGGAAGGTGAGGAGCAGCAGGTAGGTATTTTGGCTAAAGGAGCCCAAAAGAAAACTAGAGCAAACGTTGAGAAAGCTCATGTCAGTGGTTTTCCTGTAATCTGTACTGCCCGTGAAGCAGGTCATCTGTGAAGAGTAAGGATTCCAAGAGAGGCAGGGCTTAGTCAGATGAGCTGAAGAAGTTACACAGCAGCTGCGATGTCCCCGTCAAGCTGGAGGAGCCCACGATCTTCCATCCGATTGTGTCATTTCCAGTCACATATTTGTGTTTGTCGGCTTTCTGTGACTGTAACCAAATATGTGTGGTGCTCATCTTGCAAAGAGGAAAGGTTTGTTTGGGCTGACAGTTCTGGAAGTTTCAGCCCATGGCCACTTGGCCGCGTCAGTTTGGACCTGTAGCCCCACAGTAGATGGCAAGAATGGGTGGCAGGGGAAGCTGTTCATTTTGTGGCAAAAAGACAAAGGAAAAGAAGGGTGGGAATCCCAGCGTCCCCTTTAAGGGCACAGCCCCAGTGACCTAAGTAAGACCCCCATCACCTCCCAACAGAACCTGGGGACTGAGGCTTGGACTGAGGCCTTTGAGGGGCATTCCAGATCCACATCATATCAGCCTTAAGCCTTAACCCCAGAAACAGCACAGGGAAATCAAAAGGTTGCGACCCCGCCCCCCAAAGGCCAGGGTTTAGTGGGAGTGGTGCATAATAGGAAGTGAAGAGCGAGAGAGTGGAGCATTCCAAGAGAATCATGATCTGGGAGGTCAGAGGTTTCCAGGACGCCTTGGGAGAGGAGAGCGCTATGGATGGAGGCCAGGCTCGGTTGACAAGTGCCAGGTAGAAGGGCTGTGGCAGCCAGGAATCAGGATTTCAGCTCATGGAGCAGCACTGCCCATTAGAACGCTCTGCAAGGGCAGAAGTGTTCTTTAGCTGCTCTGTCCAGTGTGGTAGCCACCAGTCACGTGTGTGTGCTGTGTGCACTCAGCCCTTGGTATCTGCAAGTCCCATGTCTGCAGTTCATGCAACGCAACATAGAAAATACCAGGGGAGAGTGCGTCCATACTGAACTTGTGTAGACTTCTATTATCAGTGTTCCTTAATCGACACAGTTCAGTAGCCATTTGCATAGCATTTACATTGCATTAGGGATTAGAAATCACCAAAGAGAGTCTAAAGCACACAGAAGGATGTGCATAGAACCTATGCAGGCACTACCCTCTGTATATCAGAGACTTGAACATCTGCAGATTTCATATCCTCAGGGGTCCTAGCACCAGTCCTCCAACGATGAGGGATGACTGTACCTGAAATACAGTTAATGCGAACAAGGAACTGAATCTTAAATTTTAATATCCATGTAAGTAGCTACATGTGGCTGTTCCCTAAGGTAGTGTTGGACAGTGAGGTGTTGGGTGTGGCTGTGGTGGAGACACTGGCATCGTGCCCTGCCTAGTGTCTGCTGCTATACCAAGAGCCTGGGAGGCAACACCCAGAGTCCAGGATCTCATGTCACCACTACGGACTCTGCTCCTGGGCCCAGATGACCTGGTTGACCTCCAAATGCCGCCACCCACCCTGACGTGAAACCAGTAATGGTTTCTTCCAAGGCCACTTTGCTAGCCAGGTGCAGTCTTCTGTGGAGAGTCAGTGGGAACGTGAGCAAGGCAGGTCCTACCCAGAAGCCACCGGGATCTTCACAGAGCACAGCCTGGCCCAGGGTCTCACATTGGGGGTGGTGCAAGGACTTCTGTTTCAAACTGGGGCACCTCTGGATCCTGCTGCTGCCAGACTGAACACATCAGTGCCTCCTTTAGAGGGGCACCTTGTTAGTTCTCGGAGCTTTAAAAAATTCTAAAACAATCATCATAACATCTGGTTTAGTACATTTGATCATAATTTGGAATTAGCCTTTTATTAATATTAAATGCATGTGATAAATTAATTGTCAAATATCCAAAATACTTGTGAGTTTCTGATGTATCCAGGAACCTGATTAACAACCCATGTTTTCCTGGACGGTGTGAGCGTAAAGTTAAATCCTATTTGAATTTTCAGCAACTGAGAACCTCTAAATTAACACAACTAAACATCCAGCAGAGGGAGAGATTGAAACCCCCAAAATCTATGTGTGGCCCTTCAGCAGGCTTCCGTTAGTCAGTTCTCTCCTGGGGTAGTTTCCACTCCAAACACCGTTACAGTCCCTTTCTGCGGCTTTAGCTTGCATGACGCATAGCTGCTCGGAAGGCCTCTTCGGCAGTGTTACTGAGCGCACACATGTGCAGAGCGGCAGAGCAACAGGACTGCTAGTCTGCCCCGACAGAGACGGGCATGCCCGGTGCCCTATTCTCCCCACCACACAACCTTTCCCCCGCAGGGTGGACTGCGTGTGACTCTTAAGTCCGCAGCATTTACATCACTGCTGTTGGCGCAGGTGAAGACAAAAAATGAACTAATATTTTTAATCTAACACCAGTGGAGACTATATAGCTCAGATCAAAGTTTACATTTAGACTATGACATTCAGATTAGAATGCTCAAACCTCTCTTCTGACTGATGCCACAGTTGTCGTATAACTACTGCCTCAGTGGTCCATTGATGAAGACGGCTGATGATGCAGTCATCGCCATGGTCAGGTGGAAGGTGTCCCAGAGTCCCATCATTTGGAAAAACATGAGCAGCCCATGCTGAGAAGCCAGCAGAACAGCTGAGATGGCTAAGAGCTTGGTGCAATTTTTAAATCTCTTCTTGCTCTTTCTTTGCTCTTTTGCACTGAGTTAATTCTTTAAAAATCTATTCACAGCCGGCACCTACAAAACTACCTGAATGGTCCAATTTATGACCAATCTTCTTCCCAAGAGATAGTAATATACAGATTTTCACCACATCCCTTTGATACAGTGGCCATATCATGAATTTATGTATCAAGTCTCTTCTCAGCTCTCTCAAATCTATTGATTTCTCTACCAGCCCCTCACTTTGACCTTTGATGAGAATGGTAATATTTCTGCAAATTGCAGAACTTCCACGCAAGCCCAATCTGTTGCCTTTTCAGGATGCTCTTCCTGTCTCCCCTGTGCTGCTCTTTTCAGTCCATGGCCTGACATTAGCATCATCACATCTGAATGACCAGACTTTAATCCAGTTGTAACACTCGGGATTTATGACTTAGCGGCAAAGGAAGTCGGGTCTGTTACTTTGTCCTTGGAGCCAGGCAGAGCTGGGCCTCCACAGACATGGCCAGGGCAGGGGCTGTGCTGAGTGCAGGGAGCCCAGAGCTGGTCTACTTCACACTCACAACCCTACACCAACCCTGCAGGAAGGCGCGGCCCCGCCCGTCACAGTCATGGTGGTGCACAGTGTGCAGCCAGAGCAGGTTCTTTTTATTGTTTGGTTTCAGGTTTGAAACTGACTTTGAATCACTTCTCGGCCTTTTGGCTAAGATCAGGTGAAACTGACTTTGAGGGTTCAGCTTTCCACAGCTCAGAGAGCTGATGCCATGAAAACATTGTGAGTCTGTGAGCACCAAGTCCGTCTTCTACAACTCTTCCTTTTTTTTCCCCAGCATTTGATATTACTATTTTTTAATTTTGTGGCATATTTTTATTTTTCACAGACGTAACTGTAGGCGTGTACAGCACACAGTGTAAGATTCGGTGCATGCATGCAGAGGGAAGTGTTCAGATCAGGACGACTGGCGGATCTGTCACCGCAGATACTTATCTCTTTGCGTTGGGCACATTTAAAATCCTCTCTCCTTTAAAATGTCCAGTTGTTGTCAACTAGAATTATCCTACTGCGCTACAGAACGGCCCAAGCCATTCCCCAGAGCGAGCCCTTCCTGAGCCCTGCCGGACGCCGGGCTTGATCCCCAGCACCAAGAGAATAAGAGGCTTCTCCTCATCCCCGGTGCCTGGCCCCCTCCAGCAAGCCTTTTCCAGAGTCCTCCGTGCCTGGAAGGCCCCCGGAGAGGCTCAGGCCCAGCTGTCTCTGTGCTTGTGCCCCCGATCTGCCCCTCTGCCACACTGTCAGTCTCTCCTGAAGTGACTCCAGGACGCAGCCCTGCCATGTGAGTCGCAGCTTTCCTCACCACAGCACAATAGAAAAGTGAATTTGCT